TTATCAGAGAGTTTAAATGGAGCAAGAATTACATAGTTATATTTATAAACAGAACCAAACATAAAGATAATAACTAACGGGTTTGTTTCGGATTGTTGCCATGGTTACCGAGTTCTAAATTTGGTTTAAGTTAGGTACAAGGTCAAGCTAGTGACTATAAATAATTCAGTCCTGATTAATAGACTATTAGCTATGAATTTGGTATTTTCTATTTATGACCTTAAATATACCTAGTAGTAAGTAATAGTTACAAATACTTTAAAAATTAACTATTCTATTTAACAATTCAATAGGACTTTAGGCCACTTCATTTCATTATGGAGTATTGAGAGATAGACATAATACTGCAGTAGCATAACTTACAAAAATTATCAGGTCCTGAATATGATTCAAAACACCTGAGACGAACGAACGAATTTTTATAAAAGCAACGTTCAGACGAAATTTAAATGCATTGCATGCATTAAGAAATTCAATGTTATGTACCATTAGTTCCATTACTGATTCAATTTGTTACACTGATACCAAGGTTAAAGTGACTTTATGAATGTTATTGTTATGTTTTCAGAGTAATATGGATTCCCTGAAATATGACTATATGTGTAATTGATCGTCATCATTTATTATCATTTATTCTCCACACTGAATTGACTTGCTAATCAATCTCTTAAGGCTGAATAAGCAAAATATGCAGCACCCGATTTGAAGATCAATTTCTCGATTGATGAATAAAATTATATCTGATTTCGAAATAAAATTAATATACTTGTTATTTATAGATTCAAGCGGTATTGGTCCGAAAATATGTCCTTGCGAAATCTTAAATTTATTAACAGTAAATCAAGAGTAAAAATTTGCATTGGACCCAATATATCTCCTTGCGAATTCTCGACTTCATTAATACAAACGTAATAAAATAATGAATGAAGAATAACATAACGTGCAATGAATACAGTTCGCGTGAATTACCGCATAAGGTAAACACATCAAGTTATGCAAAACCAGTATAAACGGACCGTTGTACCGAAAGACTGTAGAAAGTGAGGCTATGATAAACTAGTGATATATGTATAGTTTGATCTGCAATCGTTTATACCTATATTGCATTTAAAGTGTGCCATCGTGTGGCTGCATTTCTTTAACAAATGTACTTGAGTAAGTATATTTTTTCCTCTTTTGCCGGAGGTGACCTCACTGTGTTTGCGTAACCAACCGGTCTTTGCGATGATCTAATGACATTTTATACGATTTTTAGCCATGTTTTATAACATTTTATGGTTATTTTGTATGCATATTTTATAAGGCAATTACTATTATTGTTTTGCAATGATTTGTAGCTGGTTGAACGGATAGAATTGATAATATTTGAAATTTCAAGGGTAAAAATGAAGATGAATGTCATTGATGCAGGTCATTTTTGCAGATGGAATAAATTGATAGTTTCTGTTAGATCGCCCTCTATACATATTATCGTATTGCTATCCGTTTTGATAAAACTTTTTAATGTAATAAGTGTAATAACCTTGCATTTGCAACCGATTTACTATTGAGACATGAATGTATATTAGTTTCTTACTGTGTCTTGACAAAGTCAAAGTCAAAGTTTTCGTCAAAGTCAGACAATACTATTTGTCCGTTTCGAAAGAGCCTATATATGATTACATTAAAAAAATGCTTTGACTTTGACAAAAACTTTGATTTAAACTATCCTCTCTAAAAATAAAAACAATACATTTTGTAGAACGCTTTGAAGGTGGATTTTTAAAGTACGTTATCTAGCCGCGGCCTCTTTACTATCATTATGTTTTTACTGCCGGCGCCAGTATATTAGTGCAAGCATTAACCTGTAGTTATATTGATGCTCATTACTCGTACACTTCAAATAACTCTGTTTACAACTTTTACAAAGTTTTAGTATTGAAATAATGAAGTAACTGTTTTTAAAACGCAGTTACATTCTTTATGTTACAAAAATTTAGAAGATTGTAGATAACCAGAAACCAGGCGCTATTCTGAACTCCAAGCTATTGCTGAGGATTTCTAAAATTAGCGATCAAATGATACGTAAACATTTAATAGACAAATCCAACCGTTTAGACTAGTTTAGACACAAAGATAGTTAGAGAAGGGCTGAATACTTAGTCTAGAATTTAAACATGTAACTAACATTAACTTGTGAATCTATAAGTTCCATTATAAGCTTTACAGTAGCAAAGATAAGATAAGATAGTCTTTAGAAGCCTAGATTAAAAGAATTAATTAATATCTCAAAATACAAATTACTTATCACATATTAGTGCCTATAGTGAATAGTGAACCATTACACTGCACTTATAACCATAAAAGCAATCATTTCTAAGTCCGAACAAGAAAAACCTGATTTAGATAAAACCTAGCCATTCTAGAAATAGCTTTAAGGCTAATCTCTGGTCCAGTATCAATAATATTGCGTGCACCTATGTAGAGACTTAAAATATGGAGAACCAGTCTCTTTAGGCAATAGGCAACTTTATTACGAAATGTCAGGGTTGGTTTTACCGTGGTGCTAAAATTTCGACCTTAAAAGTCCAGACGCGTTGTTGGAATTCAAAATGGAAGATAAAAGAGGAATGTATGGGTATCTCTGCGCTTGCGCTGCGTGCATAATGTTGAGGATAAAGCCGCCATTTTTATTGCTTTTTGGTGTAATGTAATGTTAATTAGTTGTTACGTGTGTACTGTGTAGATAACAGATTTGTACTGAATGAAATTAAGGATAGACAAAATTAGTATAAAGTAATTTTAAGTTAATTAAAAACGTTGAATAATTTGGGTGTAGTAATAACATTACTGAGAAATGAGATTTAAAAAATGTCTATGCTAATTTACATCTACGCAGGTTACTTATGATTCGTACAAAAATGGTAATAAAATTTATATGTCATGACGACTATAGGTTTTAGGTTTCTACCTAATAGTAATTGTGAGCTGTTAACAGTGTCCGTGAAATTTGAAACAGGTATCCTAAGTTATGAGAAGGAACGGAAATTCCTTTATTTTATTTTGTTAGGTTTTGCACTAGGAAGTACTTTAAAAATTGGTGTTTCTTTACAAATTGAAGTTTGTATCTAACTAAGAGAAATCTGTCTTCTGCAAACGATGATGATAGTTAAGATAGAAGTCAGAAGAAGATTGCAGTCTTCATTATTTCTTTGAAATCTTAATCGGCATTTTTTGTCACAGATTTGGTTGTAAGGAATGGGTAATGCTCGCAATCGTCACTATGATCATATCAAGCCATTGGATGATTTTCCCCCTCAAAAAAAGCCATAAGACGCCCAGTGCCAAACATAGGTCTTCTCTTTCTAAACATAGACTTTCAGATAGGTCGGTGCCAATAATTTGAGATTCAATTACTTTATCGATCTATCTAGTTTTGTCACTTCCTTCGGAGATTAAGCCATAGTCTCTCATCGATATTGTTAGTTAGACCTGCATATTAGGTTTGAACCCTAGTCAAGACTCTTGTGTCAGTATCAAATACATACATACCTACATACATACAGACAATGTTAATGCATTACGTAAATGTCCACCTACCTTGATGACCTCATGGTATCTGTCATTCAATGTCTTTCAAAAGAAATCGGACTTTATTCTATCAGTATCACAGTTTAAATTCAATCAAGCAGGTTTGGAATTTGGAAGCAGACTTGAATTTCGTATTGAGAATATGCAACATGGCGAATTGATTTGATTAGCTTTATTAGACGTGTTTGGTTTTTTTGTGCTGTACGTATATTCTACCTATTGTTCTTTTGAGATAAAATTGTAGATTCTCTCGACAGACAACAGACAAGTGGTCACACAGGTGAACTTAAGTTATTTTGAGGGATTTTAGGAATATTTTGGTTCGTAAATTCTTAGTAGGAGTAAGGAATTTAAAATGGAACCGACGTGATACTACGGCCTCACAGAAAACCGACGTCAAACAACGCTTGCGTTATGTTTCGTCGTGTCATTGAGATTATCAGCGGCCCAATTACTCCCTTCCCCCTTTCCCAATTTCCCCAATCCCTGAATTCCCAACAATCCTCAAATTCCTAATCTCAAAAAGACAGGTAACTCACTTGCAACGCCTGTGGTGTTCCGGGTGTCCATGGGCGACCAACAAGCGTTATGTAAGAGAATATTTGCATATCAAATTAACAATTAATGAATAATACTTAGGTAGGTAAATTAGCTCCTAAATATATCGATGCTAAACTGATTTTAGATAGTAATAGATGCTATCCACATGCAGATAAACAATATCAAATAGATATGGTAATAAACAACCGGATAATTTGGGCGACCTTTCCCAACCAACCAAAATGATTGTTTTATCTGTCTACAAATCTGATCTCTGTTTTTGATAATATGCAAATTTGACATTCGTATACTTAAATTAATTTGTTTATTTGTTTGTTTGCTAGTCTATTTTGAAATGTCAACAAGTTATAAAGTCAAAATGTTAATAATAGGTCGGTATATACACTTGGTGATATTTGGTCTTTCTCATTGATCTAGTAATATCTAATTAATCTATATTATTAGGTTCGGTTTGCTAAAATATTGTTATAATTTTCTATTTAGATTCTTCGTAATAGCATCAGCGAGTATATTAAATACATTATCATTTTCCTCACTTATAAAACAACAGAGCAAGGGAACGGGAACTACGTGGGTAAAACTTCGGACTTTATTTATTTGGAACCACAGAATGTTCAACAATCTCACAAAAAAGAACACTAACATCAGTCGTAAGAATATTTACTTATAAGTCCTGAATCGACATTGATAAAAAATACTCCCATACATAGAAATAAGCCTTGAAAAGGTAACAAGGCAAAAAAATCGAAATTCTGCCTGATGTTATTAATCCACGGACAAAGTCGCGAGCATTAACAAGTAAATATTTGGCTCTAACTAGTGTAACTGGAAAAAAAAACATCAGGCTTTCAAAATGTAATTTGACCTCTTTATATCCCAAATTCATCTCCATACATTTCATAAATTAGAGGGCAAAGTTGCTGAGCCATCTTCTCATATGGGGAATCCTTTTCTATTGTTGTATTGTAAGTTATTTTGTTCCATAAATGATGAGTGTAAGCGTTTGCTACGTTCCTCAGCGTTCCAGGTTTAAAATAATCGTTATTTCTGGTATAATGGACTGGGTAAAAATATTCCGGACCATACACTTCAAGCCCTGAAAATAAAAAATAAAATGAAAAAGGAGCAAACGAGCTGAATCACCTCATAGAATGCGATCAGTATTGCCTATAGACATCTGCAACAATGCGTTTTTGACCTTTTAAGGAGTAGATCCACTCTTGAAGGCCCGAAGACAATATGATTCCGAGCCACAGCTTATAATATTAGTTCTGATTTCTTACTAATAGTAATGTAATTTCTAAAAGAACGATAATGGGATAAGGTTTAAAACTTAGACATTCATAGATTTACCTTGACATGTGTTAGCAGACCATTCGTTCGGATCAGATTTATTGCACATATGGTGTAACACTCTCGTTATCGCGCCCGGACCATTATGTATAAAAACATCGGGTCTATACGTCGTTTTCACTTCACTGAAAAAATACATAGGTATTTACGTTGTTAAACTTCGTCATAAGGAGCCGCTTCCAACTAGAAATATTTTTTTTATGGGATAAGCCAATATACGAGCAGACGCGCTTGATAGTAAGCAGTCAGCGTCGCCCATGAACATCCGGAACACCAGCGGCGTTAGAAGTGCGTTACCGGCCTTTTGTGATTTAGGAATTTGAAGATTGTTGGAGGATTCAGGGATTGAAGAGATTCGTCTGTCAATTAGGGGGGTAATTGACAGACGGGAGTGACTGATGTGATATCAAAATTTATAAAAGTAATGTATTAAAATCTTATTGAAACTATAATAATACTTACTTTACAATAGTCTTCGCGAGTCGTCTTCCGAGGTGGTCCATGGAAATGGCTATAGCTGCTGCATTCACGAGCCCATTGTCTTCCTTCGCTACCCAATTGTGACCGAGAGGTGTCAGAGATTTCACGACCATAATGTCTGTGTCCAGATACACTCCCCCCCACTTGTACAGAGTCAAATATCTGAGGACATCAGATGTATGTTCTATGCGCCATTTACTCTCTTTAAATTCATTACTTGCTACTAAGCCGTCCAAAGGGGTGTTCTTTGCATATTCTTCTATATGCACTCTAGCAAAATGTACGTTTGGTAGGAGCCGTAATTTAGCTATGCAGCTTCTCTGATACACTAGCTTCATGATGGGTCCACTGAATAGAACATAGATTTGTCTCCTTGGATGTGCCCTCGCCGCAGACTCGATGGAGCACGCCTGACGAGAGTTTAAGCCTCCACGACATGATGTTTCGTGAAAGAATATCGAGTTGAACTTCGGCGAAAAGTTGGGACCTTCAGCCCATGGAAGCACATCCCCTTCATCGTCGTAATGACAGGACAAATTATTTACGTTAGATCGATGTGCAGAATGCATAATGTACGGCGGCCCAGCAGAAACATCTCGTAAATTGACATAATAAATAGTGACACAACTAAAAAGAATAAAAATAATTAAAAAGATTAAATTTTTTCGTAAATAACAATAATTTTTTTTCTGTGACTTTAGTGAGTACATAACTGCACTGTTTTTACTGTTTTGTTACAGTAAAACAAAAACCGAATCATTTAAACGAATACGTTATCGAATTATGATAATAATCTACAACACAGGCAGGCTTAGTTGTAACATGATATTTCAATACAGATTGTAACAATTTTGTAAACACACACTTTACTTGGTAAATGTAGTAAATATTAGTTCCATTATAGAAAACGAGCGATTTATATAGTTTCCGCGTGCTCCCTAAGTCACAAGCGATTTTCCAATCGATTTGTTATTTTGAATGCTACAACTAAAACCGAAAGGAATCATTTTGTGCATTATATTCTAACTCAGGGATAGCACACAACTTCCACCAAACTATTCATTCTTTTAAACATTATTCGCAAGGCCTCAGTCTGGATAACGTGCAATCTCTATACCTACTTAAAAAAAAATCGTCCAAATCTATATTATAACAGAATATATTTTCTTCCATTTTGTCCTAGCTTTTTTAGGGGGGAAAACCATCCATCCATATTTCTCACTTTGGGTGAGGCGAGAGGCAGTGTCAGACTCTTACTGGCTAAAAACTACCCCGTTCCTTCTCCTGCACTTCAAGCCGGAGCCCTAATAACCCGTTAGGTTTTCCGCGACAGTGTCAGACTCTTACTGACTAAAAATCGACCCATTCCTACTCCTGCTTTAAACCGGAGCGCCGGTAACAATTTTGTCTTAGCTTATGACTTAAAACCTCACCGGGCACAACTAGATGATAATCTATGGACCTATCACATACAACATAGCTCTATTTCTATACACCCAACATGAAACAATTTAATATGGTCACGTGGGTGTGTTTTCATATATTCATTTTCTTGTCCTTCCTCTTGAACGACACAGCTCATATGTTTCTTTAGAGCAAAACGTCACTTTTAACTACAATACAATGTACCTACTTCGAAAGATAATATATTATTATGTACCTATCTTTATGTAACTATTCCTCTGTGATTTAATTCGTATTCAAAAACTCGTTTTCCGGGTATGTTCACTTTAATTATGGATAATTGAAATTTGCGGAAGATGTTAAATAGCAAGAGAGATCTCGACTCCCCTTCTCACCTGCAGCAGATGCACCGAGCTTAAAAAGAAGGTAGAAACTGCTCTCTTTCAACCCCCCTAAATGCGTTAGATGAACAAATGGCTTAGGGAAGTATCTGACTGGTTTATTTTAGTCAGCAAGAGTCTGACAGTTCCCTTTGTCCTACCCAGATTTCTTTTTCTTTTCTATTAATACATTTCTTTGTCTTTAATAGCGCATTTATCAAGATGGTCATAGACTACTAGCTAACCCGGCGAACTTCGTTTCGCCACCAGATGGCTTCGTTTTATGTAACATTTCGTTTGGTGATTAAAAGTGAGTTTTCTTTGCTATAAAGCTCACGGAGCCCGACACCTTTCCAACGAATGCAAGACCGTCAAAATAGGTTCGTGCATTCTGGAGTTATAGCGTCAGGAAGGAAAACCCGACTTATTTTTATATAGATTATAAAATATCACGCTAAAACTAATAGAAGCTAAGTAGCAGGGGAAACTGCGTTTAGAATAACTAGTAAGCGATATTTGTCATAATCCTCATGCTTGACAGGAGTCATAAGGATTGCAGTTAGATTACCAAAAATTTGGAAACATAGCTGCATGTCTCTCAGCGACTTATCACAGTTTTCGGACAGATTCGGGTATATTTTAAATTTAAAAAAGTCCTTCAAATATGTATATGAATTGCAGCAATTTGTAGCTGGTTAGAATTGGTATGCTCGTATCTCTAACTAGATGTGTGGTCACCACAACACCGAACAATGGCGCGATAAAATATACTCAAAATGATGTTTTGTCTGTTACAAGTTCTAAGAAACTAAACTCGTTTGGTTTAATACAGTTTGGAATATAATATATGTGTGTTTTATTTTGAGTTGTATGTCAAATAGCTTCAAAGTGGTCTTGAAGGCTTTATTTATCTTAATAGCCAAATTCATCAAAGTTGTTTTTTTATTTATGAGTTTTTATCTAAAACTAGAGTTTTTTCAGTTTTTAAAGTATCTCTCTCGGTTCGGTTTTTAAGATTGCTTCATTTGTAAATATATAAGTTTCTTATGTAGCCGATTTTGACTGATTTTCAACCTTCTACTAAAAACTATATTAAATTACAATTATTTATAAGTAATTCAATTACAGTAAATTAAATTGACTGCACGATTGGTTCAGTGGCTGAGCAACCGGCTGCCGCGCAATGTATTTCGGATTCGATTCCCGCATGGAACAACTCTGTGTGATCCACAAATTGTTGTACCGTGTCTGGGTGCCATGACGTGTATGTGAACTTATATTATTATAAACGCACCCACGACATAGGAGCAAATCCTAGTGTAACGTTTAAAAAAATTAGGATACCTTGTCTAGTACCTACATATCTAATATTATGTAGGTACCACATCAAGATAGAGTATTGTACTCTTACATTGTATGGTAAATAAGGCTAGGCAGAGGAGTTGTTGTAACTGTACTTTTCCTCATATATTATACTATTGTAGTCTTGTATTGTTGTGGTAGTAAGCAGTAAAGTCACGTACTACAAGTCAATACACTATTCGCATTGAAATTACGGGTTTTTATATTATTTACATACAATGAAGAGGTATTTAGTAATAATAAGCTTAGGTAATAAATGCTTAGGTCATGATTTGGTATCGTACCTACGTGGGGTTTTTAAGTGGTGTTTTATAGAAATATTATGAAGGGTTACAATTTTTACCTCTGTTATACAAGATACACATAGTGTCTTCTTGTTACTTAAATAAACAGAATAGTTTTATAATCATCTCTTTAATTATTTAATTTAGTGAATTTAGATTCCAAAAATCAGTCTTATCTAATCATAGAACATTTCTATATAGCCCTTTCGATAATAGCGGCTGTATTAATAACTTAAAGTCAAAGTCTTTATATTTAGGTACACGTAAAGGTAATAAATACATACAGGTCTTAAATGAAATAACAGGCACATCTTAACGGCCTATTTCAGGCGTTGGAAATAATATTATACTAAAATACAAAATGCTTAAATCCATCACATTTCACAACCATAAAACATTTTACTAATTGCATTGAGCCACGTACAACCAAAAAACAAGTTATAAAATCCAAACAATATTATAAAATTAGCATATAAAACCAATAAAATATAAACTTAAGTGATACCAAATATTGGTATGTAGTGTAATTATATCGATTATGATCAAGGTGAGGCCTCTAGTCACCAGACAGTGGTCTATCCACTAACCCAATTTTTGGGCCAGCCACGTAATCTTTAGACAAGGTTGAAGTAATTTGTAGACAACGAAATTCACACCTGAATGTGTAATATTATCTTCACTATTAGTATATTAGTATTACCTACTGTAAACTTAAGTTTCTTGTGTTTCTCTATAAGTACTTATTGTCTCATATTTATATCTTCACTGTAGATAACATAAACATAACGTTACATCACGCTTTTTATCCCCGAAGAGGTAGGCAGAGGTGCACATTACGACACTTAATGCCACTGTACAATATAACACCCATTTTTCATTATTTATGTTATGAGTCCCATGTAATAGGGGTTGAGCCTATTGCTATATTATACCGGACACGATTCCAGACTCCGTGCTAATACTGAGAGATAAAAATCCAGTAATACTTTGCCCGGCCCCGGGAATCGAACCCGAGACCCCTTGCCCGGCTGTCGAACTTGAGACCACTCGGCCAACGAGGCAGTCTATACAATATAACAATATAAACTAAATGATATTGCTACCCGTTTAAGAAATTCTATTGCAGATTCTCTGAATAATATAGCGGCTTACATTCTTTACAATTTCGGGGGAGGTTCCTTAAGAAACCTCTATATTATGGCAAATTGGCGACATCTTTTTGTGTCCAGTGATTTCGACTGTGCGTTGTCTGAAAGTCACTCAATTAGTAGCAAACCTTATAATATCCTTAGATCTAGTGATTAATAAGAACACAATAAAGACAACTACATCGATTATAAAAACTATAAATATAGTACCTAACTAAAACAAATACTGTAGACAATACTTCTTTCAACACCTCAAGATCCTCTACAATGCCTAATGACAAATGAGTCGAATGGATTAGAGGAAGATCGCTGAAGTAATCAATCAACTAAAAGGTTAGATTCAATTCCACTGAAATTCCACTCGGGATCTTCTGGGAACAAACGTATAGGTGTTAGAGGGAATGCACGACTAGGAATTGTTATTATTAGAGTTCGGAGGATCGTGTTGTCTAATGACATGATAATGAGACAATGACCTCTGAGTTTGTTTCGGCGTTTCTTCCCAGAGTAGTCAGTTAGAAATACCTCATCTAGTGATTTAAAGGTTGACATGTAACAATGTTACTTTGTAACCCATCTGCAGAAACAAATATCATTTCGTAATTTCATTTAATTTCATATTATTTTGGCTTTCCATATTTGCTCAACCCAAGACCCTTTCTACAAACAACTGTCGGTATGGCGACCACTTGATCAACCAGGCAGTACTTTTTATATGATTTAAGACTTTGACTTCCAATAAAAAACTGTTGAAGGTAAATCCTCCGCTAACGCCGGTTACCGGTGACCCCCATGGCGTTTAACGTGTTAATGACATTCTCTAGTTTAATTAAATATTATAATTAATTGTATGATTTTTTATTGTCCTGTCTGTATCTATTTGCTTGTATATTGACCTATTAAATGATATATATAAAGTGTACTAACATAAGTTTTTAAGTTAAATGTTACTAACAAAAATATGGACATGGTCTAAAATAAGTGATTATTATTATTATAGACTTGAATAAAACCCAATTCCGATTCTTCTAGCGAAATTGTAAGTCGCATCTACAACTAAGATAAACAATAGTACATACATACAACATTTGCTATCTAAACACAACTTAAACTTAATTAAGGCTTTACTCTC